AATAAATAAAACTACACATTCCAAACCACCACCATCACCTTCTTCATCATCGTCATCATCATCACTATCATCATCATCATCATCATCATCATCGTCATCATTATCATCATCATCATCATAATCATCATCATCGTCATCATCATCATCGTCATCATCATCATCGTCATCATCATCATCATCATCATCATCTAATAAAATATGATAAAACACTCATTTCAAACCACCAAAACCATCTTTTTCATGATTATCATCAACATCATCATCATCATTCATCTTAATTTTTCACATTGAGAACATTTGCTTTAGTTACTCTTTATCATGATACTTATTATCATCATCAAGCTCCTTGTCGTTAACATCATTAGAAACCGTCATCATTAAAATCATTCTAATAATAATCATCAAAATCGTCATCATTATCATTACTATTATTATAATAATCTAAACTTGGTTCGTGACAACGATATATATATATATATATATATATATATATATATATATATATATATATATATATATTGCAAATAAGTATAGCTTACATTAGTCAGATAACACGTGGAACGTCACGCCTTGCCTACTTGATTTATTTGAGCTAAAAGCACGAATCCTATGAAACCGGATATTGCCGAATTTCGTCAGTAATTAATGAGCATCAATTATTCATTACTGTTTCTAGAAAAACACACATGTTCAATGTATATTCAAAATTTAATGCACCTAATGACGTCACTAATTAGCGTATGCTGTTTAACATAATTTTATTAACTATTAAATCTGATCGATTGCGTTACTCGACAAAAGAAAACATAAAAAAGGAAAAAAAAAAAAAAAAAAAAAAAAACTCTTTTTATCACCTCTACCCAGAGAATCTGTGGCTAATATCCAACTCGTTCTTGAAATATAAAACAAAATAAACTGGTATCGGTGATATACAGTGGGCGTGACTGGAGCTTTAATTATTTCAATATTAAGAACTTGACTTAATTTACTCCTCAACCCAGTGACGTATTTAGTCACGTGATATTATGTAACATGTACTAACCTCTTTTAGACAGGTCGAGGTATGTTTGGAGCACAGTCGGTAATGTTTTAATACATCGAATGGAAAAAATTATATAATATGACATGGTTATTCACATTTAAATGATTCACCTTTTAAAAAAAAGTAAACCACCGAGCTCTAGGGTAAATCATTTTGATAGGTTGGTATGAGGCGCGTTGCTCTTTGTTGAATACATGTCTTAAAGAGTAAGTCTACCTCTACAGTGTGATGTATATAACCATGAGAATCCGATCAATAAATGGGTTAAATATCATAGGCCTTAGGACAATTTTAAAATGCTAATCCTGTTTTAATGTGAATGAATTCCCCATGGTAGTGCACGCTCTCTATCAACTTTATTTATGTGATTCTATACATTTGCACCAGGACTCTCAGATAAACTACGGTATACAAACGCATCCATGTTATTTGTTCCTCAGTCACGCCTCAAAATGTGTGGTGACAAAATATTCTCAATCGCTACTCCCAAACTGTGAAACAATTATCTGCCTTCTTTAAATCTGTAAAACTCTATCTTGTCTATTTTCAAGACACAACTGAAAACACATTATTTCAGTCTCTTTAATTTATTCTTTCACTATGTTTTTTTTTTTTTTCAAATTCTCTGGTAAATTTTTAGTTTAGGGTAGTTCATGGGGTAGGTTAGTTTTCTTATTTTCTTTTTTATTTTCTTTAAGTACTTTGAGGCGATTTTTAATTGTGTAAGGTGCTCTACAATGTGATTCCCTTTTCCATTTAACACGCTAGTAGTAAAGCAAAAAAAATTGAGCGTATTAAGCCGGGCATTCACTACGTCGTACGATGAGCGACCGTCGGTAGACGAATCCAACTCCGCTCTCTCTGAGCACATCCGAACATTTTGGTGGCACCGCCCTATCATTGATATGCCCGTAGATAAAAATAGGCATATGTCAATACACGAGCGGAGCTACTTCGAGCGAATTGCTACATAAGTTCGAGCGCATGCCAGTATTAGTAGGCCTATACAAGGGCGAATTTAACCAAAACGTATGATTGTTGTATTTATTTAAATACCAAAATGCACTGTGTAAATAATATTTTGTAAGATTTTTTTTTTCAAGTATAAATTTAAATAGTATGAAGTGTGATTAACATTTTACTAGCATTAATATTAATGACAGAATTTTTCAGCTTTTTTCACTTAACCGTAATAGTAAACACGGCATTTCATCATACTTCCACAGTTTTACGCCATTGGCCTCCGAACTAAGCACTTAAAATTACGAACTGATAAAATCGGTCAAGATTATTACAATACAGAAATTCACTAAGTACAAACAGTGCGCATGCGTTCCAGTAATGTTTATGACTGAGAACATAATTGTTCTTTATGTTAATGAAATTCAAATTAGATTTTATCAACAATGAAATTGCTTTTCATTGTGTTCGATCTGTGTGCTTGGTGGATTATGACTAATTGATTGCTTTGTCGATTACTGAAGACATAGGCCTACTGGTTATTTTTTATTTCGTTGTCATCTTTATGCAGTATTTTTAGAGATCTTGAATATTTTATCGTACATCAACGTCTCTCTAAATTTGGCTGATTCTCACATCAGAATTATATTATGGAGGTGTTGAATGTTATTTTTTGCTGTTTATATCATCATAGATTTTTAAATAATTAATCCTATTTTGTATCCTGAATTTTTATTTGAAATTGCAACGGCAAGCAACAATGCACCTTCCATTCACCGCAGTTTTGATTTGGTGCGTGTCGTAACTGCAACTATATACTAGTCTTAAGAATCCTTATCAGCAAATAAGCACCCGTGTAGGGCCATAGAGAAAATAGAACAGTTCTATTTTCTCTATGGTAGGGCTCAACATTTTCACACTAGAGAATTAGATATTTAATGGAATAGTTGCTTCTACTAGCTTTTGCATCATCACTTGTTGTTGAATCCGATGATTGATGGTTGCCACTGGGACCAACAGGCTTAAGATTAGCATTGGCTAATAACCATACCCAACCATGCTGTGTGTCTTGCGCAATACTCAATTAACTACTTTTACTACTTCCCCTTTAAAAGGACCTGCACGTCAATATTGAAATGAGGTTTCATCTCCTTCCATTTTAATGTCAAATGAGGGTATCGTTATAAAGAACTAAACGAGAGGAAGTGATACAAAAGACCGTTTTTTTATTTCAAGTATCAACATTTGATCTTCCTTTATTACATGACCAAATTTGGTATCGAACACATATTAACACGTTATTATATATTATCTGTATTCAAGACGTCTTAAATCTATATGAATATATGCAAGATTAATATGCAGAGCGTACAGAGCCGAGGTAACTTGATGTGCTTACACTAGCACTTATTTGAGCTTGCGAAGCTTCTATTAATAACATAAACATCCAAAACTTTCTTTCTTTTCTTGGTTGGCTCTTATGAAACAAGTAGCTCGAGCCATCTTAATCTTTTCACAATCTATCAGGCATTAGACGCAACCATAAGCGGCATGATTCAAATTACTATTAGGCCTATTTTTCTACATTTTGTAAAAAAATATAGCTGCTTTTTGGCCTTGCGCGCGTGCTAGCTTTTGCTGCTCAAGATGCTATAACTCAGCGGCTGCGTTAAGCCGGGTTTACACTAAGCGAAATTATTCGCGCGAATTGAAAGCGTCTGTTCATGCGCATGCACATTCACATTTCTATCGGAGTTTTCACTTCAACGAAATCGGTAGTTCGAACTGTTTCTACTTTTTGCAAAGGGAAAAAAATCGCAAGCAATGAGAGCTCAGGAAGCGAACTGACGCTTTCGATTCGTGCGAATAAATTCGCCTTGTATAAAACCGATTTACGCGTCTTACTTCAAAATGCTTCTCACTAAAATGAATCGCTGTAATGACTGACGTAAGTTTGCCCAATGCGACTAAAATTGCTCTGTGGAAACCAAGCGCTAAAATTTAGTTAGATTTCAGGGTTGTATGCTTTTTTTTTTAACAAACATTAAGTTTTCATATTTGAAAGCTTGAAATGCAAGCGCATAGAATAATATTGAGGCTACACAGAAGTGTCTCATTCCCCCTCTTTGATCTTTTACAAAAAAGTTCAGCTGCGTTGAGAGGCTATCCTGTGTCAGTCCACGTCAGTCAACTTTTGCATACTTTTACGTCACGTTAGTATGCGCTAAGTGGTTCACATTAAAAATCGACAATGGAGACTCGCGTATAGGCGAATCCATTTTTTCTTTTTGCGTTTGCGTTGAAACTTGTTACTATTGTGTGAATCAATTTTTAGATGTGCCCGCAGCTAATGAAATGTACTGAATCACTCTATTAGGAAGTGACCGTGTGGAGCTGATGCTTTAAACACTAACACTATTACTCAAGCAGCTTTTAATTTAATTATCGATTTACTTGAAAAGCCCATACTTGCAAAAACAAGTGTTTTGAAGAGATCCGTTTAATTACAAACCCATACCACACATGATGAAAGTGACAAGTCTAATCGTTTCAAATCATCACAATATTTAACCGTAATGTAACTGGAAAACGTTAGTGTCCAAGAGGTTCAGTGTATCATCGCTTGGGGAAAAGGTGTAGAAAGCATTGATTTAATGAAATATTGGACTAAACAAGGAGGTGACTGAATGAATAGAATAAAATTTAGATGGCTTTGGTGTATTTGCAATCTGACCAATTAAAACATTGGACTAAACAAGGAGGTGACTAAACTATATGGTCTGACATGTGACCTCTTGATCACAGTCATAAACATTGAAAGGCTAATGCATTTTTCACATTAGGACTATTGTAGATAAGAAAGGCAAGTCATTTATTAATATTTTCAATAATACATTATTATTAATAGTAGTCTCTATTCCATGTCTTTGAAAGACCTCATCAGTATGAAGTTATTTTTAAAGACAGTTTTTTTTTTTGTTTTTTTTTTTCATTTTAGGTTTGGTCGTGTAGAACTTCACCATCATGGAGTTGACAATGACTAGACTACTTCTGTTGACTATCGTCGGCGCCATTTTATCCGTTTCTAAGGTATCCTCAAACCCAGCCTGGGCAACTCGAGCAAACAAAAGATCTGAGCTTAAAGAAGCACTGGAGTTTCTGAAGAAGCATCTACGCGAAAACGAAGAAGCCTTCGCTACAGGATCTAGACGTATGGAAACCGATGGCTTTCCCTCGAGGCAGACGGGAAAATTCGGACAAGTGGTTGACACAAGGCCTATGTACGACCAAAGGTTTAATTTTGGAAAGCAGAGAGAAACACCAAAAATAGAGCCAGTTGAGATGTTTATGAATGAGCAAATGGCATCGGATGATGAACTGTCGTTTGCTATTCCAGAAGAAGCTGATCTGGATGATTCACTCTCGTCTGAAGGCGAATTTGTCGAAGGTGTAATTGCCGATTTTATTGCCAAGGAAATCTTAGACGAAATACAATTGGACAAACGACCAGCTAAAGATGGTAAACAATTAACTAAGATCAAGGAATCTTGCGCAAGCGTTTTGAAATCTACTTCCTCCTTTCTCCTTTTCTTTAATTTCAAACTCTTAATTTTTATCTTTAATTTATTTATTTTTTCTCTTTTAGTGATATTGTGATATTTTTTGTGACGTGCGATGACATGTTTTAACGTTTTTATTTTATGTTTTTTGTTCGAGAGCCTCAATGGAAAACAACTTATGTAAATAAATAATCGTTTTAATTTTTAATTTTTGATTGAATCATAACATGTAGGATGTGTTTATTAGTAATAAATTTGATTTTCCTATTTTGCTCAACCTGGCTTGAATGTACTCTAACTTTAAATATTTATGCTGTAACGTGGTACATTGGGTATCATTTGCGGATCTGGGGGGGGGGGGGTCAGGGGGTCCTGACCCTCCCCTTGGAAAAAAAATTAAATAAAATAATAAATAAATTCTCTGTGTACCGGTACACACATAAGCCTATTTACTGTAATAAGAATGAGAAAAAAATTACCTGACCGTTTACAAAAGGGGACAACCTAGAATTTTGATTAAAAGACACTTCAGAAGTCCGGAAAGCTCATTTCTCGCCATCTAAGAACCAAAATTTTCCTGGGGAGGACCCCCGACCACCGTTTTATTTGGGGTTCATCGATTTATTGAAAAAAGAATATGTATGCAGCGACTCAATTATTGTTATGTACTGTACATACACACATAGTAGGGCTACTAGTATTTACAGTAATAAGGATGAGAAGTTTACCCGACCGTTTTCAAGCGGAGGAAAACCTTAAAATTTAAAGAACTTAAAAGTCATTAAAAGTCACCTAAGAAGTCGGGAAAGCTCATTTCCTGCAATCTAGTGATCAACTTTTTCCCGGAGAGAGCCTTCGCACCCCCTTCTTCTTTGGGGTTATCTATTCATGGAAAAAAGAATATGTAAGCAACTCAATTTTTTTTATGTACGTATACACACATAAATAGGCCTATATACTGTAATAAGAATGAGAAAGTTTACCTGACCGTTTTCAAGAGGGGGAAAACCTTGAATTTTGAAGAACTTAAAAGTCATTAAAAGACAAGTTCTGGAAAGCTCATTTCCCGCCATCTAAAGGCCAACTCAGACAGTGTCGGCCGACGCAGCCCGACCCGACTTATCGTCGGGTAGTCTTAAGCCGTCGTGAGAAATATTAAACATGTTTAATATTCTACGACGCGACTGCCCCCGACGCACTGCGTATAAGAGACAGTTAATATGCAGAGCGTACAGAGCCGAGGTAACTTGATGTGCTTACACTAGCACTTATTTGAGCTTGCGAAGCTTCTATTAATAACATAAACATCCAAAACTTTCTTTCTTTTCTTGGTTGGCTCTTATGAAACAAGTAGCTCGAGCCATCTTAATCTTTTCACAATCTATCAGGCATTAGACGCAACCATAAGCGGCATGATTCAAATTACTATTAGGCCTATTTTTCTACATTTTGTAAAAAAATATAGCTGCTTTTTGGCCTTGCGCGCGTGCTAGCTTTTGCTGCTCAAGATGCTATAACTCAGCGGCTGCGTTAAGCCGGGTTTACACTTAGCGAAATTATTCGCACGAATCGAAAGCGTCTGTTCATGCGCATGCACATTCCTGTCTCTTATACACATCTAGATGTGTATAAGAGACAGATCATTGATATGCCCGTAGATAAAAATAGGCATATGTCAATACACGAGCGGAGCTACTTCGAGCGAATTGCTACATAAGTTCGAGCGCATGCCAGTATTAGTCTGTCTCTTATACACATCTAGATGTGTATAAGAGACAGATTATACATACTTAATAGATCCGCTCCTGGGTATCGATCTTAATCACTCCAAAATTGAGTGACCAATCGATGCATTTAAATAGCATACCAGAGTAGTAATGTATCTACTAGTTGCAGCAGATATTAACATAATTCATCGATAATTCATAGGCATACATTGCATTTACAGACGACGAAGTCAGATGACTTGAATGCTCTGTGGCGCGTTTATGGTATATAATATTTATTGTCATTAATATGCAAACCATGGCCACTGGCAAATATTTACTAATACAGATAAAGGACAAAGAATCAAATGATATATTACTATTATTATAATTGTACAGTAAGATTATTATTAAGGCCTATTATTTTTAAATTTGTTAATATCGTCATTATTCTTTTATTTTATTTTGCTCTGCACAAACACAAACTGAAGTGAAATATTAAATTGTCTTTCCATAAGCCACTGATATTTTTTGTAATATACAAATACAACATGTTTTGATGTGAAGTGAAATTTACTTCACGAGTTTTGGATGGTTGGGACTACCTCCTTCGCGTAGTTCCAATCATCCAACAATGAGCGAAGTGCTTTACCGAAATATAGACATGATGTTGTATTTATTTTACTTTACTCATAAATATATAAACAGCAGAACATCGGTCTACATTAGCCTTTTCGAACTGTGGGGGTAAAATTACGCAGTTTCTATGCGGGTCACGTAGGCAGGGGTGTGGTAGTCGTGAATTTATGCGTAAATTCGACACGAGCAGGGAAGTAGTAGAAACAACCGCATCCTTTACCCGGTGGAATTAACCAATGAAATTAATGTTTATGAGGTATAGATTAGATAATAAGAAATAATAATAAGTTGTTAAATGTTATATGCTAAACATAATCTTGATTAACATGAAAATCTAATTTGATACACAGATAAACCGTTGAATACGATAGAAGACAGTTATGTGGGAATCCTAGATGAAAGTCCTGTCGTTTCGTTCGACTCTGCTGAGGAGAATGAAAATTATGAACGTTTTCTGGCCAGAACTGAAAATCAGGAAGAAAAACCTTTAGGTAGCTAAGTACTCTAGTTGTCTGATTTCTTGCAAACTTTAACTTCTGGTTTACACACGGTCAGCCCCGTACGCGGAGGGGGTGCGACGCACCTCACCAAATTACCAAAGGTCCACATTTTCAGGAGTAGAAAATTCAAGACACATTCCCGCACGTTCCAGAAATCCATCCACCAAAACCCTTTTGACCAATCAGAGCAGCTTCCAACTGGGGCTGCCTCTAATTCGTCGTACAAAGAAGGACTTTTAACTGTATTTATAAGGGTTTTTGAAGAATTTGAATAATTTTCTCCGCCGCTTGCGTGTCAATTACTCACCGCGTACAAACACATTTTCTTTCTAGTTTTCACAAAACTTATTTTATTCTCGTACAAGTGTGAGAGTGCCATTTCCGGTCATCTAGAGGTGTCATAACCATATATTTTCTTACCTCAGCCCCAATTTGGTTGGGGCTGAGGTGTCATTCATTGGCCTCTTTTGAGGGGTGGGGCTGAGGTGATATGAACACTCCATCTATGAAAATCCCTCCATAATCCCCATTTACCCCATCCCCCCCCCCCCCTTCCACCTTTACCTGAATCTGTCACTGAAATATAACATTCTGATTTGTTCAGCATGTGATTGGATATGATGCAGAGTTTACCCTCATTTGCATCATGCGCTCGCAGACAGTTAACGTATTCTGTACACGCGGTTGTTGTGGAATTGCAAGAAGACCACTTAAATAGATTTTTCCACTCAGCCTTGCCCCTTGGATATTGTTTGCTAGGGTCCCGCAAAACGACAGAGCATGCCTTTTTTAGATTGGTCAGTTAAGTTTGATCAAAACGCTGGAAAAGGCCATTATTAAAAATGTCTAATTTTGCACTTGTTCAGTCAGCATTGTCTCTATTCCTTCTACCGCAATTACTTTTTGATTTTCTTTTAATAGTCAGATATTTTAAAACGTAATTGAAGAATATTGCAAGTTAAGTATCTTGTTTGAAAATATCCTCTTACGTCATTAATTTTACATTAATGTTATGATTTATAGTTCTCGTCCAGTTTTAAATCACATTCGATTTATGAGCACACTGTGTGGCATTATGAGATTTTCATTATTTCAGACACTAATTTACCGGACAACGAATTCGACCAAGATCTTCTAGATGAGCTTATGATGACGTATTTTGCTGACAATGGAGGAGGGCAGGAAACTGCCAATATCCCATTAACCAATGAAAACCAAGAGGAGAGTAAGTAAAATAAATTCGTATAGATTTATTTGAAATCAATAATAACGAGTATGGTATCGCTATGTGGATTTTTCATTTATTTATTTATTTATTTATTTATTTATTTATATACAGTATTTTTCGGTTTTGGAGGGTTTTTTTTTTCTCGTTTTAAAAATACATAAAATAACAACAATAATTATATATTTCCAATGATTCCCTTATAAGTATCATATAGTGCCTAGACAATATTTTAAAAAATATTATTATTACCATCATCATTATTATAATAGTTTTTTGTTCAAATCTTCATTATTATTATTATGAATATTATTATTATTATTATATTAGTTTTATAATAATAATAATGATAATAATAATAAATAATCATACTTTAGATAGAATATCATTGAAAATATGTAATTGAATTGTATTGCTGAAGTGTGTTTTGAATTTTTATCAGTACTGTAGTTTAATGTTGTAATGAAATGTGTTTGTTTGTGCAATTGATTTTTATATATAATTTACTTAATTTATTAAGCACTACATGTTTGAACTAAATTGTGAACTTATTCCAATTGTTGTTTTGAATTTTTATTTGTATTTGAATGAAGGTGTTAACGAACCAATATTGACCGAAGAAGAAAGAATTCTGGCTGAGACCATTCTACATGAAATCGAGGAGGAATTAGAGCGGGAAAAAATTAGGCAAGCAGAGTCGGAAAAAATGAAAAAACCTACAGCCCCTCCACCAGGTAAATATTCACGTTCATTAGCGTCATAGTAGACTGCGCATGCGGGCACGCGCATTGCGAACGCCTTGCAATGTAATCCATGTCCATTACTTGATAATTATGGTTTTATCGATAGGCCTAATTTACAATATCTCGTCGTCAATTATTTGCAGGAAATATGGATTTTTATGCTACGTTAAATTATGAGGAATACATGTCATTATTTACGCAATTCTTTTTAAGCTCTCTACCTTATAGGCCTACATTAGAAGACATATATTTATATACATATATATATATTTATTTATATATATATGTATATAATATATATTTTATATATACAATTTGCCTATGCACCAACTATATATATATATATGTATATGTATACAGTGTATATATATATATATATATATATATATGGGAATTGTGTATGTATATGTACAGTATATATTGTCTTAGCAAACCACGCTGAACAAAGAAGTTAACCAGAAGATAGCCTGTAGTATTTTGTCAGATTAATTAATTGCGTTACTAGGCCTACGCAAAATCAATATCATTTTGTAGCGCCATGTCCGTTTCGTCTGCCACACATTGCAGACAAATGTAATCATGAAATCCATAGTTTATAAGATCCAGTAGAATTCATCAGTCACTAATTACTATTTGTGTGCGTTTCCCAACATTATGACGTCAATTAAACGATATTATACAGATTTTCGATGAACTTCAGCAATTCTTTTTCAAGCGACAGATCGATCTTAGAAAGACAACGAATAGCTGGTGCTCATGTGTGAATGTCTCCGAAGCTCCGTGAAGGGTCACTACTATTTCGGTCACCATATCGCATGTTATAAAATTCAGTTTGCTTTGTCTTCCCAAGCCATCCATTTTAATAACAATTTGGATAATGGTGAAGCAATTTTAACACCTTCTTCCCCACATAAACACATGAATCTGATCGTTTCTAGAACATATTTTGAATGCCAAATTCTATGAGTATCAACATTTTTACTATTTTTTAACGTATTAATCATTATTACGAACTGCTTGAAAGTAATATGCTTATCCTTGTTAGGAATACTATAAAATTGCTCCTTCTTTCCGTTGAAAAAAAAAATTAGTGAAGTTTCTCTCACGATGTGACGTCTTATTGCGCGTAAGTAAATTCGAATGGTGACTGCGTATAGACGTCACAGCCAACCAATTACTGGGGAATGAGATTGCTCACTGTCTCAATGAGCATAGAACGACGAGATTGGGATACTAATTAATTATGACATCAACCCATATAGATCAGGCTATAATTGAGGTAGGTGCCACTTGGAGAGGTAGAAATTCTCATTTTTGTAGACCAGATTTTTATGGGGATCAGAATATGTGAGGTAAATGGGCTGTAACCTGTGAACATTAACGTGAGAGCGTGTTTCCAAAATGGCCGCCGAAATCCAATAT